ATTAGATTTGATCAGCTTCATGCAGGAAAAAGCTTTGACTAAACTGGGACCAGGACCAGTTTGGCTTTCATCCGGTGCAAGCACAAGTCGCTGTTGGCCAAATAAAAATGTTCATTGCAGCTGGGAGTACTCTGTGCTCCAGCCTGAGAAATTGTGCCGCTTCTTTAAGGAAACAGAATCAGATGAAACCATTTGCATTCTCAGAGTCTTTGGCACTAGGGAAAACAGTCAAGCGCATCACGTGTAAATAGAAATCTGTTTCCCATTTTGGGTGCGTGTTTCCTCATTTCCCTTGCCACTCTAATTATCAAAGATATTTTTGTTTTTAAACAAAAATTGTCTCCCACGCGGGCTGCCTTCTTTCTGCGATGAAGTGGAAACGATGAATTAGAATATCCTAATCACTTCTCCAGCAACCACTGCCAAGGTTATAAACATGGGATTATCCCAAGCAAAGAAAGCTTAAATCGTTTAAGCACAAAACAGGCCAAGACATCCTCAAAGCAGCCTCATCTCTTTCCATTGCTTCATTGGCATATGTATGTTACAGAATGACCAAGCTGGATGAGGTCTTAAAGTGAAGAGCATCAGAACTGGGGAGGACCTTGGAATCGAGATTGTCAGAGCTGGAGGGGACATAGAACACAAAATGCCAGAGCTGAGAATGACCTTAGAATACAGACTGAGTTGGAAAGGACATTAGAGACCAAGTCTTAACACCCCTTCCCCTTTTGCTCCCCATTTTACAGAGAAAGAGACTGACAGTGAGGAAAGTGAAGTAATTTGCTCCAAACCATGTAGTATGTCTTCATAGAACTAACATCAGAACCCCACCCTCCTGGTGCCCAAGTGCTTTTTACGCTGCCTTCATATTGGGAAAAGATCACCCACTGGCTTCATTCAGTAGACATTTCATTGCTCCTTGCTGCTGACATTTCAGAGTCTCTAGTCTGACTTTCAAGGCCATTCCTGATCCAGCCCCACCCCACCTTCTTCATCCCCTTCTTGCAGTCCTTTCCATGTGGCCTGTGTTTTACCCAGACTGGATCAGTTGTCATCATCTGTACCATTTTGTCTTTGCTTAGTTTTTCTGTTCTTAGAATGCCCCCCTCTTCCCTCATTGCCCATTGGTGCCTGCTGAAATTGTTCTTGGTCTTTAATGTTCATTAGAAAGAAGTACGAACAATGGTGTGAGCCCCCCAGAAGCTCCCTCTTTGTGGAAGAAAATGGTGAACGTACTTGATACATTAAAAAATGTTGCAAGACACTATGGCTTGGTACAGACTATAAATGTTGTAGCATTCAGAGAAGGGAGGCAGCATATGTGAGGTGGGTTTAGTCAGGGAAGGCTTCATAGAACAGATGGTTCTTAAACTGGGCTTTGAAGAAAATGCAGGATTTAAAGAAGGTGGAGGAAAGGCTGGCCTTGAGGATTAACTTTTTAGGCAGTTGCCCACATGATATGATCTGAAGTCTTCTGAGAAGGCTTTCTCCCTTCTGTTCCCCAAATATCTCCCATCTGATGTGGAAACAACGCGAGATATATAATTAGAAGGCCTGTGTTAGCACCCTGAGTCTGCTACTTCACTAGCAAGTAATTTGGGCAAGTCATTTCTCTTTCTGGCCCTCAATTTCTCCTCTGTAAATTTTTAAAAACAAGATTTGAGTCATCTCAGAATAATGGAGTAAAGGGAGTTGTTCAGTCATGTTTTAGTCGTGTCCAACTCTTCGTGACCCCATTTGGGGTTTTCTTGGCAAAGATACTGGAGTGTTTTGCCTCTTCGCCCTCTCATTTTACAGGTGAAGAACTGAGGCAAATGACTTGCCTAGGGTCACACAGTTAGTGTCTGAGGCCAGATTTGAACTGAGGAAGATGAGTCTTCCTGACCCCAAGCCCGGTACTCACCCACTACATCTACTAAAAAAGCATCTAGTATACCTACTGGTTACCTCAGAAAAGTGCAAGGCCTCACCTGAGGTTACACAGTTAATGGCAAAGCCAGGATTCAAATCTCAGGTTTCTGAGTCTTTTCACTTGTGGTCCCTGTTTTAAGAAAGCCTAGGATGTGACCATCTGAAGTGACAAAACAGTTAAATTCAGAGAGAGGTTATTTGCATTGCAAAAGGATCCACTGCAGGGTTTCTTTAAATAGCAAGCTCTGCCATTTAAAAAAAAATTTTTTTTTTAAACAATGCACAGAACTTTTCAGGAATAGATCTTTTGTGTAGAGCAAGGCATACCTATATTAGAATAGCATATCAAACCCCATTATAACATGGCATGGTATTATAGTTAATAGCCCCTTGCCTGATATAAAATTTGATCTAATATTCAATCCAGCAAGAATGCACTAGCTCCAGGGAGATATAATTAGTCTTTGTCCCCAAGAAGCATAGAACCTAGTAGGGGAGGCCACAAACCCAGATAACTATAATAAACTATTAGATACCTGCCCCAGAGTGGTACAAAACAGACTGCTATCAATCAATCAGTGTTATATGGCTCCAGAGGGACATTGTTTACTCATCTTAGAGATCAGGGAAGACTTTATGGAGGAAGTGGCATTTTTCTTTTTGGATAAGGAGCAATGAGATAAAAGCCTCCATTGTGTATATTCTTCCTGGATATCCCATAGGTGAGACTTCCACTTAATACCTAGTTTATCTAAATGAAAATGCTGTTAATGTTCATCCATGATAAGGAAACCTTTAGCTAGAAGATTGCTTGTCTCTTTCCTAACAAGTTGATTAAACAGGCAGGGTTGAGCCCTCCAGGCCTTGGGGGCTGAGAGGGTATGGAAAAGGAGTAGAGAACAGTGAACAACCTGAGAGGGAGAGAAAGTGAGCAGGAGCCCTGGAGAACAGGAGAGTAAAAAGATAGTCTGAAAATGAGTGGCTAAGAGAGGTTTGCAAGAGATGGGCTGGTGATCACTATTAAATCTGGGGCTTACAGGCCCAGGAGAATGAAGCACTTGGGTCAGGCCAATCCTGGAGATCCAAACAAAAGGGACTTGCTTCCCTAACAGCTAGGGGAGCTAAGACTAGTGGTGAGGGGTGGGGTGGAGAAACAAAGCATAGTTAAGGAGAAGGCAGAGTTCTTGGGAGGTCCAGCAAAGTGGGCCTAGGACAGGGGTGGGGAACCCACGGCCTCGAGGCCACAGGTTCCCCGCCCCTGGAGGAAATTCAGGACTGAGCCTAGTTGACTGAACAAAGAGTCACATCTCTAAGAATCCTTGATCTATCAGATCTTAGTCATCCATGCCTTCTCTTGTGCAGTTCTTGTCCATGTCTTTGGAGAAGACCTCCATAAAGGACCTACCCACTACACTGGAGACTTTCTCTGATCCTTTTAATATTTCGTAGATATTAAAGCAGCATTTAAGCTGTCATTTGGTAAGCTGTCATTTGGTTATTCCTCATTCATAATACATGACTGCCCCACCTCCTTTGCCTGTTGGACATTTCTTTGATGATCGCTTTTATGCCCTTTCTCATACACACATCAACACTGGTAACTTATTTACATTTGCCATATATCTTTCCATTACCCTTTGGGTGACCTGCAAGTTTGTTTTTTCTGAGATCATGTAGCCCTATAGTTCCACTTGCAAAAGACTGGTGTTGAAAGAAGGGCTTTTGCAGCAGGGAGCAACTTAGGATCATTAAAAAGACTATACAGTTTCCCAAATGCAATCTGGTTCACTCTCTGTCTCTTATTCGGTTCTGGGCCCAGCTTATTGACCATCTGCTGTGCCTGTCCAAAATGTGTGTACAAGTGTGCTGGTTTAGTGGGCTACACATACAACTGTATGTTGTAATCTGGCACATTGACAAATAATGTAAGTCAGAAAATTCTTAGCTGCATAGAGGTGACAAACAGAAAAGTTCACAAAGGAAGGGATAATTTCTTGTCGGGGAAATTGAGGAAGGCCTTGTGGAGGAGAAGGCAGTTGAGCCAAGTGTTGAAAGATTTTGACCTAGAGCTGGTGGGAAGAATTTGTTCCAAGCTTGGGGGATGGTAGGTGCTATTCACAAAGGTATATGAGTGCAAGATGTGATCAGTAAATATCAAGTCATCCATTTTAGCTAGATGTAGAAGCAAGCAGCATGAAATAAGGGAGAGAGGAGAGAGGAAACAAGGGCATTGACCCAGAGTCTGAAGCCCAGGAAGGAACCCCAAGACACAATGTAGTTCAGAAATGTCAGTGACAGAAGCAGGCATTTGTCTTATCAAAGTGACCTTGGTGTCTTGTCCCATGCCAGACTGAGGAGATCCTCGGCTGCCATGTCTCCAACCAGCTGACTGCATTGCAACAATAGTCCCAATAATCCCATGCAAGAAGCCCTTTATGACCTTGAGAAGGATTTTGGGGATGCCGTGGGTCTGGTGTTCTAAAGAAGTGGTTCTTCAGCCAGGAAGGGGCCACCTTGTACATTCTAGACAAATAGACACCTGAGAAGAAAGATTTACTAAATGGACTTCAGTGAGCTGAAAGAGTTAATGCCATTTCAGCCTTCTCTCTGATAGAATCAGATGTATTGTGTTACACTACATTATTTTTAATCTTTTATTGTCGCTGACTGGGCCTATTCTTAAGGGTTCCCTGTTCAGCTGCCTTTTCTTTGCCTATAATAAAGTGTGTGCCTTGTCATTTTTCTTCTTCTTGAAATCTGCTTTACACCCTAGGACTAGACCAATTATTTGCCAGGAGCTTGTTTGATGTCAATATTGTTCTGCTTAGACTAATGACTTTTTTTCCTCTTTGCCAATAGACATGAAACTGTTTAGCTGAATCTCCATTGGGCTTAGGAACCATCTTAATGGCCCTGCTTAATGAACTTCAGTGTATTTGTTATGCTGTCAGAAGCAATTTGACATTGTTATCAGAGTCCTTTTGAGTAGCCCAGTAAATACTCTCTTGGGCAAAAATCAAACGTCCCTTCCTCCCTTTCCCCTTCATTCTTCCCTCCCGCTCACTTCATTGTGTCTCTCTCCACAGCGTGTTCCTCCACTTGATGAAGGTAGATCCGGACACGACATGGTTCATTCTGAATGAACTTCACTGCCCTCTTCTGTACGAGCCCCCACACCCCAGCCTCCACCCAGTGAGCCTGAGTGGGATGGCCAAGCCACGGACAGAGTACACTGACAATGTGCTCCTCTTGCTAGCTGAGCTGCAGGGTTGAGGGTCTCCTTTGGGAGGCCAAGCATCCCTGCTCCGCAGGATGACACATTTGTGCCAGCTGCTGACTGACTTTCCCTAGGGCCCCTAGGGGCGTGAAGGGATACCTGTTCTTCTGAAGCTAGCAGGCATTAGAGCCATCTCTTCTGCCCCTGAACCGTTGGGCCCTGAGACTGGCAGCCCAGAGGCAGCCTTCAGAGAGAACATGAAGGGGGAGATGAGACAGGCCATCGATTTATAAATTGATCGATCACACAACTGCTTAGAAATTGGATTGAAGCAAAATAGCTGACTTGTTATTTATATTTTACACCTTGTGTTTTCAAATGACATTGTCAGGCAACTCTTAACAATTTAACTCTTTGATATACCTTAGTCATTGAGCTGAGCCACATTCCAAGAGCACATTGCAGGCCAGGCTGCCCCACTTCAAATGTTGGTTTGTTTTTTTAAATATCTGACAAGGACAAAATGACCTGCTTTCTCCCGTCTGCGTTTTTGTGTTCTTGAATGCTTTGTTCAAGTATTAAATCCATGAAAATGACAGAGTATACTGACTTTCCATTACATATATGTGAAAAGCATTATCCCTTCTTTCCACCTAAATAATGACATCGAATCTGTTGGTTTTGTTTTTCAGCACTTTAGATATATAATAAAGATGTTGTAATCATTCACACTTTGAAGCCTGCTTTTTAACCAAGTAACTTTAAAAAAAACACAGTAGGAAGACATTTAGGTAGTTTCAGGAGTGCTAGAAATAATGTTTTTTCACCTTGTTAAGTGGGTTAAAGAAGACAACATGGTCTGCCACCATGGAAGGTGGTACAGAGGAAAAAATAATCCCCTAACAGTGAAGAACATAGAAAAGTTAGGAGTGTTTGGTATTGGAATGTTTTAAAATATTTTATTGCTGCCTCTTAAAAAAAAAAAACAACCACCCACCACCACATTCATTTCCCAACATACCACCAGCAGCAACAGTCATAGCCCTGTGTTCTAGCCCCCTTCTGACCCAGCATTCCAGGCTCCTGCCCTAAGATTGGCAAGCATTCAAGTCTGGAGCCAGACGCACCACATATTGCCCAGCCATCTTCATGTCTTGTCAGTACACGTGCCCCCTTCTTCTCACTGCTCCTATTTCTGACCCTGGCTCAGAAGACAGTAATCAAGTTAGTACTACTATACATTCCCTCTCTGGCCAGTACTCCCCTGATAGTTGTCTTCCCATGTTATAATGTAAACTTCAGGGCAAAGACTGTTTTCATTGCCTGTATTTGCATCTCCAGTGCTTAATACACTGTTTGGCACAAGCAAGTGCTTAATAAATGTTTTTTCATTCATTGAGCCCTCCCTTAAAACAAAGAAAAGTTGTTAAGTAAAACTGACAAAGCAGCCATGTCTGACAGCATATGTAACGTCCTGCCCCCGTAGTCCTCCACCTCTCCTGAGAAAAGGGAGGTCTCCTTCATCTGTTCTCTAAATTAGCATCCACCATTGCAATTAAAATGAGTTCAGCTGCCTTGTGTTTTATTTACATTATTGTCCTTGTGTATCTTTCTTCTTGTCCTGCTTTCCTCTACCATGCGGCTTCTTCTTGTGCTGTTACGCTGATTTGATGTGTGGGATGTGGGAGGATGATGCAGGTTGTGTTGGCAGTGCTTCTCAGATGCACTCACAGACCCCCCACAGCATGTTATCCCACCCCTCTCTGATGCTGATTCTTCTCTATTAATTCCTCCTCTGATCCACTTACTCCCGTGCCAGAGTAAAACCAGGGAAATTTCTTTTGCTATGTTCTAGCTTCTCTTCTTTGAACCTTGACCCTCAAAATTATAAACTTAGAAAAACTGTCAATGGATAAGTAATTTATTAGCAGTATCTGGTAACATAAGAACATAGATAAGCATTCAGACAAAGTAGAGATGTCTATAATGAGGCTAAGCTTAGCTCTTTCCTATCCCTAGCTTGTCTAAGGGATACTGCTGAAAAAAAGGAATTAAGATTTAAATTCTGGGTGCAGATTTTCCCAGAACTGTAGTGTGGGGAAAATAGGGAAGAGTGGAGCTGTTGACTTCATGTCACAACTGCTGAATCAGCCTGGCCTTGGGCTCCAGTCTTCCTGCCATGAACTTCCCTTCCCTCTGACTCCTGTCCCTCTGCCTCCTCTGTCTCGCACCCTAAGAATTGTGTTATCCCAAGAAGGTCCTCCAAAGTCTGTAATCCTGGAGAGGTCTTCTAGGGTTTCTGCAATAGCATCTTGGCCACCCATGACAGCATATCCAGAGGTCCATAATCTCTACCAAAGTGGGATCTAGCTTACCTGTCTGTCCCCAAAGTGCCATAATAGGAAAAGCATTGGACTGAGCAAGTATAGATCTAGTTCTTATCCCAGCTCTGCCCCTCAGGGTGTGACTTTGGTCAAATCACTTCTCTCAGGGCCTCCATTGGTTAAATGAAATCTTCCAAAAGGCTTCTAGCTCTAAAATGCTGTGTTATGTTTCTTGGAGCCTAAGCTCAGGTTCTGTCCCAGCTCTGCTACTCACTAGCTATATGACTTTGGGCAAATTGGAGCTCCTAGGACCTAGACATTCTTTAAGGTGGGTTCTAGCTCTAACATTATGTGTTGACTGGGGAAGTGGGAGGTGGGGTAGAGAAGAGAAAGGTTGGCATTCCTCTCTTTTTTCCTTTGCCAGAGGTTCAAATTTGTTTTCATTCCCAGAATACCTGGGTGTGGGAAGGGAGTCAGATAGTTATAGTTCCTAGGAAGCAAGGAAAACCAACAGAGATTAAACATTCAGTCTGGGTAAACTCCCAGATGAATAAACTGTCCCACAAGCCTCATGGAGAACTAGTTGGCCATATAATTAATACTGAAAAACAGTCCTGATCTTAAAGAGTTAAAATAGTCTGAGTTACTTTGTGATCCCCTGGAGCAAATTGTTGCAGTTGATTTTTTTTAATCTAATCAGAATGCTTCTCTGATTATTATTTTCATGCAGGTTTAATTTTGAACCTGTCCAGTTAACTCATCAGTTCTTGTAAATTGAGGCTTCACAAATCCATCATTCCCTTTGGTGCAAATTTGAAGTATTCCTATGATACAAGTTACAGCAATACATTAAAATGAACCAGAAGACCTATCCATTCAGTTGTAATCTAGGTACTTACATATGCAGAGCCATGTTCTCTGCATCAGGGTGGGAGTAAGGGGCAGAGATGCACACAAGGGAGGTTCATCATGCCTTTATGATGACTGTAATCTCAATTCACCAAATACTTGCTTAGAATCCCCCATGTGTAAGGCACTGTGCCAAGCCCCATTAAAAAAAAAAAAACTTTTTAAAGTTACATATGACACAGAGGACTTATAGTCTAATGGATGGAGGGAGTTGAGAAAAGATCATTTTGACCTGGGAGAATCAGAGAATAATAACAATAAAAATAATGACTAGCAATTACATAGAGATTTAAGGTTTAAAAGGGCTTAACATAAGCTATTTTAGAGCTCACAATAATCCTGTGAGATAGGTGCTCTTATTATCCCCATTTCATAGATGAAGAAACTGAGGCTGAGTGACTTGACCAGGGTCATATATCTGGTAAGGGTCTAAGGCACAATTCAGAGGTGGGTCTTTCTGATTGCAGGCCTGGTGCTCTATTCAGTCCACCACCCAGATGCCTCAAGGAAGGCTTTATGAAGGAAGTGATGCCTCAGGTTGTAAAACAGGGGTTACAAGGCGTACACATGTGAAAGAATTCTAGAACAGAACCATCCAGCATATGATTAAGTGTCCAAATGAATGGGGATGGCTAATAAGCGCTATAAGTCAAAATAGGTAGAGATCAATACATGCCTGAGTTTTCAGGGAAGACTTCCTAGAGCTGAACACTGAAGGACCAGAAGGATTGGGGCAAAAGTGTGAAGGTGGGAATGAGTGTGGCACGTGTGCATGTGTTTGTGTGTGTGTGTATGTGTGTGTGTGAGAAGGGTCAAGGAGCAGGTCAAGCTGAAGCATAAGGGTCATGTGGCAGTACTATGGGAGGTAAGGGTGGAGACTTAAAATGCGGCCAGATGGTAGGGACCTTGCATGTCAAGTTTAAGAGGGTGGTGGATCTGCTCCTGCCATCTGGGAGCCACTGGAATTTGTTGAACATAGGAATACCATCATGGGAGTGATGTTTGAGAACCCATCTAGTACAGTAGGAACTGGAGGGCCAAGAATATGGGCAAACTGGAGAGTGTGCAGAAGAGAACCACCAAGATGGTGAGAAGAGTCATAATGCAGTCAGTGAAAGGGATTTGGAATGTTCAACCAGGTGAACATTTGGAATCCTTGGGATTCTTTATTTTATTGAAGACACAGTAGATGTGATAGTGTCTTCAAGTATCTGGAGAACTGCTTTGTGGAAGAGAAATTTGATTTGTTCTGCTTGACCACATAAGACAGATCTAAGATGATGATAATGCAGTAAATAGAATTTCTATAGCACTTGAGGGTTTGCAAAGCACTTTACAAACATCATTTTATCCTCACGACAATGCTGGGAGGTAGGCGCTATTATCCCTACTTTACAGATGAGGAAACTGAAGCAGAAAGAAGTTAAGTGACTTGTCCAAGGTCATACAGCTATAAGTGTCTGAAGCTGGATTTGAACTCATCTTTGTGAACCCACGTCTAGAGTCCTATCCACTGCACCACCTAGCTACCTAAGAGCAATAGGTAGAAACTAGAATCAAGTATAATCAGATTTCAGCTTGATGATAAGGAAAAACTTCTTAACACCTAGAACTGTCCAGAGGTGGGATGAGCTGCCTTGGGAGGCTGGGGGTTCCTTGACATTAGAGGTCTTTGTTATTGGAGGGTGGGGTATGTCATAGAGGGCATTCATATTTTCAGATACAGGTCGAACTAGGTGACCTCCAGGGCTCTGTGGTTCCAACATCCTTTGCGAAGGAAGACCACCAGTGAAATTATTTCCCAAAGACCCAAGACTAGTAAAAACCTACTTTTTGCCATGCTAAACTTGTCGGGTGCAATACACTTCATGGCCAACTCATGGTATATACTTCATGAGGCATCAAAATGTGCCCTTTGAAGTTAGAAGTAGAAAAATGGCCTGTCCCCCACACCTGGAATGCTCTCCCTCCTCCCTGTCACCTCTGAGAATCCCAAGCTCCCTTCAAGATTCAACTAAAGAGCCACCTCTTACATAAGGCCTGTTCTGATCCCCCCACCAGCCCACCCCCAAAATAACTTTGCATACATTTTATATTGACTTAGCTGTATACACACACTGTTTCTCCCCCAGGACAATGTAAGTTTTTTGAGGGCAAGGATTTATTTTGTTTATCTTCGTATCCCTAGCAGCTAGTAGAGGTACTTGCACATAGTAGGTGCTTAGTGCAGATCAGTGCAGACCTCACATAGCTAGAATAAGTGGCAGAGCCTGGTGCTTGTTCAGGGAGTGAAAAAAAAAAAAGAATATGGCTCATTTCTATTATCTTATTTTTCTTTTTTTTACAAACTGCTTTCTTTACAATACTGAGGCAGGTGGTATGGATATTATTATCCCAGTCTTACAGATAAAGAGACTGAGGTTCAGAGAAATTAAGTAGCTTGCCCAAGATCACATACAGATAGTGACAATCAGGGCTCATCTTCAAACCCAGGTCTCTCGTGACTCCAAGTCCATCGTCCCTTCCATTACATCAAGCTAAAGGTACTGATCATTCTTTCTTTGGATTTTTGCTGAGAGCTGAGCAGCTTTAAGACCAATGCCCACAATTCCTGCTGAGGTCCTCGCCTATGCCAAACAATGCAGGGTCCATTCTCGCGTGCCATGTGTCCCTTATGTCCTCTGTGCTGGGCTTGATTGGAAGCAAAGTGCCAGCATTGCTTTCCCTCAGGAGGGAGGAATAAAGGCCAAATTTCAGTTAATAATTCTGAACGATGGTG